CGTAACAAAAATTAAAAAAAAAAAATTAAAAATCGGGTAACTTGGGACGTCAATGAGTACAAGTTGAGAGTTTAGTCGAATGTTAAAAAAAAACTTGTGTATTCAAAACGCCAAATAAACACCCCAAAAGCTGGACTTAACGGCGAAAAGCAGTTATTTTTTAAGGGGTCATATACAGACGCTATCAACTAATTAGCAACGAAATTCAAAATCATATTGTTTGCAAATTATGTTTATTTTTTTATTTTTAATAATTTTTATTTAAAACATAGTTCAATCTATAACAGAAACCACAATAGTAAAAGTATAAAAGCTTGCACAAATTGCAAAAAAAAAATAATAATCAAACTTAAAAAAATTGTCATCAAAATTTCAAAATTTTTAATTATAATATCTAGAAAATTTTAGTGTGTGCAAATTTTGTAGCCCATTAAATTTTAGTCTAATAAAGTGCAAGTTTCTAATCGTTAAAAATTACCGTTGATTTTTTAGAATTTATTTTGTGAAGGGTGTTGCGCATGATCAAAATTTGTTTATATGAAAAAAAAACAGCAACACCCTCCACAAAACAAAATCTTCAAGTTCAACGTTAATTTTTAACAACATGAAACTTGCACTTTCGTATACTACAACTGAATGGGCTACAAAACTGCATACTGGAAAATTTTCAAAATATTCTAATTAAAAATTTTGAAATTTTGATGACAATTGCTTGAAGTTTGATAATTTTGTTTTGCAATTTGTGCAAGCTTTTAAACCTTTATTATTGCGGTTTCTGTTAAAGATTGAATTATATTTTAAATGAAAATTAATAAAAATAAATAAATAAACATAATTTACAAACAATATCATATTGAATTTCGTTGCTAATTAGTTTATCGCATCTGTAGGTATTATGTATTTGTCAGAACGAAAAATGATTCTGAAGCTGGCACAACGCCGAAACCGTTTTGTCTCCAAAGCAAAATTGGCAATGCCTGACGGAAATTCGTTTCAAATCGTATCGTAAGCCTACCCTGTCGGAAAAGGACTACTAGTAGTAAATAAACGTTATCTCTCTTTTTTCGGCGAGCAGAGTCTTTGAGTATTTAGAACCTTCTCTTACAATTAAATAATTAGGAATCGAAAAATTCGGCCTTTATTTTTTTAACTTTTCACACCAAATTGTATGCCATATTTTTTTCGATACGATAAGAATAAAATATAAGTAATAAAATAAATTCCAAGTATAGAGTTTTTTTGATAAAAAAGTAAACTAAAAAAAATTTTTTCAAAATTTTATTGTTGATGCAGAAGTGTTCCTATAGTACCAAGATGCATTTCTGCATCATAAATAAAAATTTTGAAAAAAATATCGCTAGCATCTTTTGTATAATCCATAGTTTAGCGATTTTTTTTAAGTTTACTTTTTTATCAAAAAATACTCTTTAAAACTCGATACAATAACTGTTCGAAAAAAATCGCGAACAAATTTATTAATAAATTTTATCTCAGTGGTTATATTTGTTTTAATCATCCTTAATTTTTAACCCTTTCCGTATCGAAAAACTTTCACGGTAAGCTATAAATCTAAAAGTTTTTATTTCAGGAAAAGTTTTTTTGTAGAAATCTTATTGTTCAAAAGTTATAGCTTGCCGGATATATTTGACATTGCACCTCAATTCTTAAAACCACAAGTAAACAATTAAAAATCACTAAGTTGATGGTGGTTTCAGTAAAATATAAACAAAAAACATTGGTTTTGATTTTAAAAACACTAAAACGCGAGAAAAAACTATAAAAACTAATTTTGCTACAACTAATTTCTAAAATACTACTAAAAAAAATTTCCAAAGAAAAAAAGGATACATACAAAATGGAAAATATGAAAGGGGAGTTAATCAGTCACATTTTAGTAGCAGCCATATCAAATGCCGATTAAATTCGACAAATCTAAGGAAAGAGTAATTTATAATTTTCCCTTTTAATATTAACAAAAATTTTAAGTCCAAAAGGAACTATGATATGAAAATGCGGTTCGACATAAAAGTTGTATCTGCGATAAGGCTGGCTATTATTGATAGATTTTACTTCACTGAATTCGAATCTGAACCCGGAATCACTCTATCATGTCAGCTTTTTTAAATATCCTAACCTAAAACTTCTAAAACTGCGACTATGGCCTGTTTTCGAGGTGGTTTCGTTTCTATAAAAGCTATACAAAGCATTTTAGAGAATATTTATTGTCTTTTCAAATGGCGTTGCGTTTCCTCGAATATTTTATTTTTCTACTAGTTTGAAATTTTCAAATCTCCTTAAAAAAAAGATGTTCGAACAAACCTAACGGCATATGATTGAGCAAGAGATATACCTTAAAATGCTATGTACATACACAGTTACTCCAAAAATTAGCGTACCGCTCTTTTTTGTTAATATTCACAATATTTTACGTGCTAAAATTTTTTTTGTTAATTATTTTTTTTTAAATATGGCTTATGTTTTGCCAATCCCATTTAAATTTAAATGATACTGTGTACAAAAATTAAGAAAAATCTGCAAAGATTCAGCAAAATCGCGAACTTTTTAATACGAATTAAAAAAATAAAGTTAAATTTTAGTACAATAATGTGCAAATTTCAAATGCCTAAAAATTCGCGTTGATTTTTGAGAATTTTTTTGCTGACTGTCCTTCGCGTTTTTTCCATATAAAAAAATTTCACAATAGGACAGTCAACAAAAAAAATTTTTCAAAAATTAGCGCGATTTTTTAGAGTTTTGAAATTTGCAATTTAATGGACTATAAAACTGCATAACAGAATCCTTTTTAGAAATTCGTATAAAATAAGTTCGCGATTTTGCTGAAACTTTGCAGATTTTTCTTAATTTTTGTACACAGTATCATTCTTGGATTTAAATGGGATTGGCAAAACATAAGCCATATTTAAAAAATAATAATTAACAAAAAAAATTTTAGATGGATTTAAATGAAGTTTGCTAAAAAATAAGCCATTTTTTAATACAATATTAACAAAAAATTTTTAGCATGTGAAACATTGCGAATATTAACAAAGAAGAGCCGTACGCTCAATTTTGGGAGTAACAGTATTTTTTCGCGTTACAAAAATGCCGCTATGCTACGTAACCTCGAAAATATGCCAATACCGCAATTTTCGTATTTTTAGGTTAGGATATTAAAAAAAACGATGTAACAGTGTAATTCTGAGTTCAGATTCGAATTCAGCGACCCAAGATCTATTGAAAATGGCTACTAAGGCTAGCAATTATTTATATGAATTAGGTTTTAATTTTTGTTCTTTTCGATCATATTTTTATCGTTAATCATAAATTTAATTTTAAGTTCGTCAACGAGTTGAAACGGTCATAAACATGCATGCTCCATTATAAAGGTTAGAAATTATCGAAAAAAATCTAAATCCAAAATAACGATTATTGTTGATCGAAGAAATAAAAATTACAAAGTAATGATCAAATTTTATCGAAAAAATAAAAATCCAAATTTAAGTATTAGTTCTGATCGAAAAAAATATGGACAAAAAAATTACGATTTTACAAATTTTTACAAAATTAATCAAACACACACGCAACAATATTATTTTAGCGGAAAAAACTAGAGAATATAGATCAAATGTAACTAACTGAAAAAAAGTAAAAATTGGAAAATCGTAAAATAAAAATCCAAGAATGGTTTAAAAGTTTAACATACAAAACACTTTCTATCCGAAAACTTAAAATAAAGTAATAAACTCGATCTGACTATAATTTTTTAAAATGTTTTTTGTTTTTGTATTTTAGAACAAATTATGTACGCTTTGCAGTAACATTTAAACATAAAAAAATAACGCCACAATTTTTTTGTAACCGGCAAAAAGTCTCTGAAACCGAAATTGAAATCGGAGTCCAAATATTGACTGGTTTTTTCTCTCAATCCTAGATGCCTTTCTCTTGTGTTAACATCCTGCTTTTGGAATATCTATTCAGAAATATTCAGAAGAAGTCGGTGTTTAATGTCAGGCCGATTCAAGAGGAGAGAAAAGCCAGCTATCCGATCAAATGACTTAAAGCTCATCCAAAACACCAGACCGAAAAATATAGCAAAACTCCGTTTTAGTTTTTCTCTATGACGTCAGCATTTTTTAAGGTTTTTGTATTTTTAAAAATATGACTAATTTCAAAAATTATTTAAAAAAATCAGTGCTGTAGAATTTACATTATTTAAAAAAAAATAAAAATTGTTTGGTTCACAAAGACGAATAGGTAACGAAAACAACCTTTTAATTGATATTATTTTTTTAAGCTTACAAAGTTAGATCGACGAAATTCGAGGATGTGCTCGAATGTATATTAGTAACACATATTTTTTTTTTTTTCAATAATAAGTATTGCAAAATTTCAACGTTATTCAAGGATCAAATTTTAAAAGAACATTTTCAATATCTATTCATCCTTATGCACCAAAAAATTTAATATGCTTTAATTCTAGATAGTTTTGGTACCCATACAATTTTTTTAGATTGCACTGAATTTTTTAAATAATTTTTTGAGGTAATCCTATTTTTCAAATTTCAAAGTCCTTTGAAAAAATCTTAAGGTCAGAGAGAAAAACTAAAAACGCAATTTTACTATATCCACAAAAATCCATAAGAATCGGAGGGATTCGATTTGTATTTCAGTATTTCGTATTTTTATGGCCTTATCGGATTTCCAGTGCCTCTTTTGGAATTAACAAATTTGTCTTTCATCGAATATTTATGAACGAGAAAAAATAAAACAAGGGCCTTAATTGCGGCTTCACAAAAAGTGGACTTAGCATCTTTTCACTCTAAGCTAGCGATGTCTATTAATTTATATACTATTGAATTCATTGCCTTAGGCTCCAAAATTGAGGTTTTAAAATTATTTTTCATTTACAATTTAAGAGTTCATTCAAAGTTTCGAGACTTTCGAGGTATTTTTCAGTTTAGGCGAATATACCCCTATCCTATCTAGCAAATATTTTATGATTTTTTTTTTGCTGGCTCTTATAAAGACTTTACTATTGTGAGCCAAATCCTTAAGCTATTACCAGAAGAATTAGTTTTCGCCTACAGTCCAAGTCCTTCAGAACTATGTACTTAGAATTTCGAATACACCAATTTTTTATCACACTCGACCCCACTCACAAATTGCGCTTTGTGCCGTTCCATGTCACTAGTTATTTTCACTATTACGCAGTGTTATTATTAACAAATGAATTTTTAATTATCAACATTTCTTGTTTTTTGTTTTTTTTTTTTTTCAAATCACTAATAGAAGGAGCTGCACCATGCCTCACCAACTGTTGGACTAAATATACCAACTGAGTGACTCAGTGTCGTCTGCACGTGTATGGCTTGTGTATGATTTGTGCTGATGGGCGTTGACGCTGGCAAGCATTGGAAGCAATAGTTCGTACCATAATTATTATCCCAAAACTGTTGTCCTTTACATTGAAAACGTACCGCAAACTCTATACGCTGACCAATTTGCAATGAATTGCCAAAGAGAAAGAAGGTAAATTTGTCAGAGAAACCATCACATGAATTCTCCGCATAGTTGGCCTGCAGGTCAGCATAGCTGCGCCAATTATCCAACGAGTATCGTATGTGTACCGATTTGTTGAAGTCCAAATTGCGTACACGCACTGTGCCGGTAATTGTTTGATTGATGTGATCTGTTACCGCTGCATTCTCCAGGGACACCTGCTTTTCGCGTACACGATCGAGAAATTTCGGCAGGCCACCAGGCTGTTGAAATAGCGGCATGAGCAGCTTGTCGGATTTTGGTCCCAACTGTATGGGCGGTTCCGATTCCAGCACTTCCAAATCTTCAAATGCAGATTTTGGTATAGTTGGTATTTCATCGAGAAAGGTTTTTATATCGGCCAAATCGAGGCCGAGCACGTCGGCGAAACGTACGATTTTTTTGCGCCCAGGTGTACCGGGTGGTGTCTTGCCCGTCTTCAACGAAGAGCAACGTCGCACACGCTGTGGCCTACAGTCGTCTTCGTCGTCATCGTGGCCATCGAATGTGGACTTTTCTGCCTTGGCACCATTTTGTTTATGATTTGCGTCAGCTACTACTTGTTCCTGAGTGCTTGTACGGGCGGACTCGTATGTGTCTAACCCTATTTGTACTTCGTTTTGGGCGTTTTTTTCTGCTTTGTTAATTGGTTCAGTCGTCGTCGCGGACGTCGTCGTCCCTTCGATATCCAATTGCTTTAAATTGTCAAGGTTTTCAGGGGGTAAAGTTTCTTCATCCGTTTTGCCATTCAAGAGGTGTGATTGTGTGATTTCTGGCACAGTATTGATTTCAGTGTTTGCTTGTGTCTGCATAGACTCAATTAAATTGCCGATGCGCGCGCTATGTTCTTGCAGTTCATTGATTATTTCATCTTGTAAAGAGACAAGGTCTAAAGATGTGGGGCTCTTATCTGCACTCGCTGGCGCCACCAGTTGTTCCTCTTGCAGTTCCGTTGTGGCTGTTGTTGCTGTCGTATCCGCTGTTGCTGTTGTTGTATCCGCTGTTGCTGTTGTTGTATCCGCTGCATTATCAGCATCTTCTAGACTCTTGCTTATCACTGAAGATGTATCGTCATGCTCTTCATGATGTTTGCTTTCGTTTGTGGCGTAGCCATTGTGTAGTGTGGGCGCACATCCTGGTCCATCGATTGTGTCATCATCATCATGATGTATATGCTCAAAGTATGGCGCGTCGGCTGAACCCCGACTGCTCGAGGTCGATGCGCAAATGTAGCCCGATTCAGCTGCCGAATTGTGTGGTGTATTAGATGCGGTTTCTATCAGTCGTAAATATTCACACTCATCGGCTGGGCTGCCAGGACTTTCCAGCTCACAATCGAAATCAAAGAAGGAGTCCGATTCATGGCGTAATGGCTGCAGATCTGTGACTGTCTGCTCAGCATCATTTGTAGTTTGCCATGTGTTAGCTGCGTTGTTTTCATTTATTATCGATTCTTCTTCTTGCGACAGCGCGCCATCGTCATTCTGAAATGTCAAAATACAGTTTTTAAACAACTATGGACTACACTATAGATACATATACATACATACAGACAATACGTCTAACTTACCTGTGTGCCCAATGTACGCAATTTGGAGGATAAACTACGCGCGAAAGCCTCCGCTCTACCACGACATGATGACATGCCTAGTGTTGGAATAACAGATATTATACTGCAAGCTTTTGGGTCGGGTGTGCTACTGGTATTATCATTCAAAGGAATATCGCCGGGTCCGTTCATTGGCATTTACCAGAAACTTTTATTGTATCTACAAGTAGTAAAAAGAATACAAAGTTGTTTACATGTTAATCGGCAAGCGATAAATAGGATATTGCAAATGAATTTCAGTGTTGCGCTCTGTTAAAAGCAATACAATATTTCTTTGTTTCGAAGAAAGTTATATCTAAAATAGTTAAAACTACTGTCGCATACAAATCATTAGGCTTATTTGGTATTTGTTTTATATGCACTTGTATTCTGTATTTATGGTTTTTGGTAGATAGTCGAGTAAAGTTTCTAACAGCAATACAATGAAAAATCTATATATATTACACGAAGGCATTTTGTTCGATTTTCAAAAATGGTGTCAAATTAAAGCGCTTGGCCTGTAGATGTGCACTCTAAAAAGTGCATGTAAAATTACTACTGAAAAGTGTTTATTTTTCAACCAGAATCTGTTCAAGTATACGCACAAGATGTTCAAGATTTGATTTTGAACATGAGTTGTTTAAAATATACACATGAAATGTTTAAAATTACAAACATTTTGAAAGTAAAAATATATTTTTTACAAATAATAAATACTAAGTGCCAGGGGCGCACGCAGGAATATATTTTTGGGGGGAAAGGGTTTATACTTCTAAACATATATCATCAGCAAATACTGAAAATTCGCTATTTAAAATACATTTATGAAAGTTTTATTTACAGTATAAAATAAATAAATAAACTTTTTAAAGTATCATCAATTGCATTTTATTTACATAAAATTTACAAAGACTCAGACATTTTTAACCGGCATCAAAAAAGGGGAGGTTATCAATTCTTCGGAGTATTTTTACTTCTTTTATTTATTCCACCGCATAACTTTGCACCGCGTGAACCGATTCCAATAATTATTTTTTTTTACCGTAAGGATGGTTCCTTAAGGGTCGTCCCGTAATTTGGCTTAGATCCGATCATTTAATCATGAAAAAATTACGGGTAAAGATGCACTCAACTTTCAAAAGTAATACAAAATTTTACAAAAGAATTTTAATATCAATAAATTAAATAATTTCACGAAATTTTTACACTTTTTTATTAAGTCGATTTCTGGTTTCTCATTTTTTAATAATTCGAATAACGAAAATTTAACTGAACTTGTATTTTTATCATGTAGCTCATTTTGGTGGAACGAATTCGAAGTTAGCAAATTAAATCTTCGAATGCTTATTAAGTACATATCAGTGGTAAACTTTTTTGTTAAACATCTTTATCGACGTTATCGACACCCATGATCGATAAAGCAGTTAACGTGCTTAACTGAAGGATGTACCTCCAGTTAGCGTTAACTAGACATGGTGCAAACGGCCCTAAGTGAGTATGCATTGCATATTTTTAGGACAATGTTTTCATTCGCAGTTAAACTTTAAAGAGCTCTCAAGAGAAAAACAAAAATTCTTACAAAATGACGCACAAGAAATGGAAAAGAAAATTTTTTATTTCAAAATTTCTTATATCATAATAAATTTAGCCCCAAAACCCACCCCTTGTGTGCGCTACGTGACAAATTTGATATGTAAAAGTAAACAGACATTGTTTAATTTTGCACACACTAGGAGAGGAAACTGGTTACCTCTCTTTATATGCGTAAATTTAAACGAAAATTTTTTAGAGGAAATTTTAAACATTTTATGTGTAAACTGTGAAAATGTGAACAATAAATGTTTAAAACTCAAAAAACAAATTTGAAATTTGTTCTACGCCACACATATGATAAGTAAAAGTAAGCAAGCAGTGCTTAAATTTGCATTCATTAAGAGAGGAAACCGGTTACCTATCCTAATATGCGCAAATTTAAACAAAATTTTTTTAGAGTGTGCGACTGGTTTTTTTTTTCGAAAAGAGTTGCCACCTGTTGAACAATTCAAATCAATTTTTTCAATAATCAATACCATAAGATCCGTACCGTTCTTTCGATTTTCAAAAATGTCCAATTAAAGGGCTGGGGCTGTAGATGTGCAATAAGAATCAATTTTTTTGGAAAGAGTTGCTACCTTTTAAAAACTTATCTATATTCAAATTATTTAAAAAAATGTATCACTTATTCAAATGGGAATTAATAGGAATGATTTGGAAAGCTTTGTTTTTTAGCTTGACTATATTGGGGTTGCCACCTGTTAAAAAAAAATTCAATTTGTATTAAGGGAAATAGGTAAGAGAAGTATATACATATGTATCATCATATGGGTGCCAAACGAAATGGTTTTAAGAAGGTAATAGTTTGAAAATATTTTGAGCAAGGTTGCCACCTGCTTGAAATGTGGAATTTAGTTAACTTATACACAAATTGTATGATACATCCAAATATGAATGTCAAACGAAAGTGTGTTAAGAAATCTTTATTTTCAAAGCGAAGACTATTTTTGAGGTGATGGAAAAGGGTTGCCACCTGTTTAAATAGTTAAATTTGAAGTATTTAATAAGTTAAATGAATTATTAAAATTTGGGTATCAATCTAAGGGGGTTTCAAAAATCTTTATTTCTGAACTATACTTAGTGGGGTTGCCACATGTTTAAAAAATCAAACTCAGCTTAATTTATCACTTGATTAAAATATGTCTCACAATACCAGGCGAAAGAGATTTAAGAAGACTTTAGTTTGAAATAACTTTTGGAAAGGACTTCCACCTGTTTGTAAAGTCGAATTTAGTTAACGTATACACATGTTTTTTGAAATATTTAGATATCGGTGTAAATCGAAAGAAATTTATGAAAGCTTTAGTTTAAAAATATCTTTAATTAGGCTGGCCACCTCTTCGAAAAAAAAAACACATATCGATCTTAAAGTATACATAGGTCTAAAGAATCGGGTTGATTTTTAATATCTTCTTCTGGCTTTTTGAAGCAGTTTTTCGGAAAGTTTTTTTGTATGGAAAAAAATTTGTAACGCAGTCAGAAAAAAATGATTAAAAATAAACGAGATTCTTTAGCAACATAAGACTGACTTGCACATTATTACCCTAGAATTTAATGGGCTATTAAACCGCATACTCAAAAAAATCTGAATAAAAAGTTGAAAATTTAGCTGAAACTTTCCAGATTTTTCACAATTTTCGCACATAGTTTTAAATATGGATTTCTATGGTGTTTGTTATATAAAGAGCTAGACTTTTATGCAAAAATAATAAACATTAAATAAACAAAAGCAAAAAAGCCCAAATTGAGCAAAATGTTGCTGGCTGTTGTAAAAAAGACGAAACGGATATAGATTACAACAGGCATACAAGGTTAATTATGTCGATAGCTGTATTCGTGAAACCAAAAAATTATTTCAAAAATTCATTGCAATGTAGAAAACCAGTATGAGCATCAAATTAAAGAAAAACCTCTGTAGAATTAAATTCGATTAATTTTTTTTGCGCATTACGACGATTTGGTATTAAAAATGTCCATTTAAAAATGTATCCTTGAATATCCTTAAAATGTTGCAATACTTATTTTTGAAAAAAATTATATATTAAGGACTAATATACACTCGACTTCATACTCATATTTCCTCCTTTTAACTTTATAAGCTTAAAAAAGCTAAATTAATTAAAAAGGAATTTTCTATACCCATTCATCCTTGTAAACCGAAATTTTAATTTACAGAATTGGCTCTCTTATTTGGTACCCAATACTGTTATTCTAAATCGCACTGTATTTTTTCCATAATTTTTGGAATGGGTCGTACCTTTGAAATTGCGAAGTCCTTTAAAAAAAATACTGACGTCACAAAGTAGACCAGCAGACTGAAAAGCAGTCCAAAAACCAATGTTATTTTAAAGTTTAAAATTATAATCTTATTTAATCAAGATATCTTGAAGTATGCAAAAAAAAATAAAAATATTATGACATTTGAAACATTTATGTTATGTTCATAAGAATTCAGAATCAAAAAAAATCTGAAAAAGCGTTTGTAAGCCACTGCTAGCCACCGCTGTTCAAAACAAAATATATAACGAATCATTCTAAAGCCGAGAATATAGTAATTAACTGTTAAATTTTCAAGAAAACGAGTGTGTGCCTATGATTATATACTATACACGGCGTATGAGTAACCTTCCTTTGCGTTCATATACAAATAAATAAGAGGGCTAGGAATTTAATGCAAATGAACCACTGTATTTAACTGTCAATGTTTCTATTTAAACAAGATTGTTACGATGATGAAGATTGCACAGGAATTAATAAAACTTTTCAAATGAAAATGAAGATATTCGGCTCTACTATGGTTGTCGACATAATAGCCCTAATCAGTCCAACTCCGGTTTCGCTGATCACAGTAGTTTTGCGAGGAACACCTTTCCGCAAAAATGCTGTAGTTAGCGTAGTTGGCTTTGGACTTGCGCGGGCTATTTTTTGACGAAAAAATGACATCGACGTCGACGTCGACAACCATAATAGAGCCGATTAATTAGTTTTGTCCCTTTTGACAAAAATAATCCAACAGCAGACAACTAAAATTGCTCTGGAATTAATGAAAGCTTTTTTGGTTTTTTAAAGTTGAGTTTTTTCTTTCATTATTTAAATTATTCAGAAATAAAACAATTAAAAAAAAAACATAAATTATAATTAAAATAATCTAATTGCCGATGACTAAGATTACACTGGAAATAATGAAAGCTTTTTTGGCTTTTTAAGTTGTTGAGTTTTTTCTTCCGTTTATTAGATTATTAAAAAAAAAAACAAATTGTAAAAATGTAAAAATAAATATTAAAAGTGGAATGATTTAGTCCTGTAACCACCTTGTGGTGGACACTGGATACGGCAAGTGTGGCAAATTGCCGGCTAATAGGTTACATTTTTAAAGAATTCTTAAAATTCATTTATCAATTTTAGTTGAATTAAATGAATTTTTCAAAACACTTTGACATAAAAGCCACCATTTAAAATTTTTCAACTAAATTCGTATTTTTATTTCTTTAAATAATATAAATTAAATAATGAAAACGTTAGCCTTAGTTGATAGATAGGCAACCCTCCTCGTTAGTATTAAAGCTTGTTCAAACACCTTCCCTTTGA